GGGCACAGCGTCTCATGCTCGGCGGCCTGATTCTACTCGACGCCGGCTTTCCAACGGTGCCTCAGACGTCTCCCCAGCGCCATTATTGGTAGAGTTACAGCCTGTTATCAAAGCCATGTTTACTCGGGTACAGTGCTGACTTTGACACCAGATTCCTCGGGCGCCGGGGTTGTATTCAATGCTGGCTTTTCACAGGTGGATTGAATGTCTATCCAGCAGTAATACCCATGGTATTATCATCTGGAATGAAGGGGGAATAGTGTACTAACTGGTACTCGCACTTGGGGGCTTGAGCTTTTCTTTCCGTCTACTTTATTATAGAACCAATAGCAATGCAAATCATCTTTATTTTGACACTTTTCACAATATACATGATATGTGACTTAGGTCACAAGGTCTAGTCCTGGTATTGTATCCTGAAAATGTAGAAGTGCTCGCTTGCATCCTGAGAATGGCTACTGAACCTAGTTGCATCCAGAGAATTTAATGTGTGCTTGGTTGCGTTCAGAGAATTTCCAGAGTGCTCAGTTGCATCCCAACTTTGGCGCCAAGGATCGTTGCGTCCTGAGTCGCGGTTTGCGTCCTGTGCGTCCTGTGCGTCTGACGCACAGGACGCACAGGACGCAAGCTTTTATTTTTGCTGATGAATATCGTGGTCCTAGTCAACTGGAGGCATCACAGCTCTTCAAAATCCCACAAAGGACAATCAGTGACTGGGTTCAAAATAAAGCGAAGATTGAGAAACTCAGCCTGTACTCCCAATTATGTACTCAGTCTTTTCGATCACTGTCATATCGATGCTTGTAGCCTGAGTTAGCGATTCAACTCTATGAGGATTTCTTAGAGTAGTGAAAGGCAGGAAGGACGATACGTCAATGATGGTTCTGCATTCAGTCTGCCTTTCTTTTCTGCACTATTTATGCCGAAGCTGATCCAGTATTGTTTCGCTTTAGTAGTAGCTGGTTTCGAGGATTTTTAGCTCGTCACAGGATTAGCCTACGGAGTGTCACGAAGAAAGCACAAAAGATACCTACCGGTTACCAAACCCTCATCATTAACTGGTTGCGCTTCAATTGTAGAAACTCTCAACCTCATCTTAGCTCTTTTTCAGAAACTACTGTCACCTATCCAGTTGGCTATTATCAGCTGTTAAACATCTGCAATCTGGACGAAACCCCAATACCTTTCGAATACCTGCAGGGTAAAACATACAACATTACCGGTAGTAAGATGATTTGGGTAAAGGAAACACGCTCGGGGTGGGATAGATGTCAAGCGAGTCTAGTTTTATATATGTTTACTGATAGGATACCACGTGTACCTCCTATGATAATCTATCATGGTACTGGACAGCACCTTGGGGCTGAAAAGTTCAACTACCACCCCCGAGTTCTTGTTGAATTCAATGCAACTGCTTATATGAATGACACCTTGTTTGTTCGATATGTTACAGAACACTTAGTGCCAGTTCTGAGGGGTCGACCAACTCTTTTTGCAATGGATTTGATGGGATCTCACAAGACTGCAGCTGTTCTTGAAGCACTATGAAAACACCATATCATACCATCACTCATTCCCGACGGTTGTACAGGACTTGTTCAACCATTGGATGTTTCGATCAACAAACCTTTGAAACAGATAATACGGGATCTTACTGATAAGAAAATATATGAGACTGAAACTATAGAGGCATTTGAGAAGTGAACTGTAGGGGACCGGCGTGTGATGACAACTTGGTGTGTTGGTGATGCCTTCTACAAGTTTCATCTTGAAAAGAAGAAGATTATTTGTTCCGCCTTTCGAAAAGTTGGACTTTTGTTCCTGATTGATGGAAGTGCAGATCATGAGCTAGATATAAAGGGATTTGGTAGGCTTGAAATTGGGGACTCGCTCTTAGAAGTAGATGAAATGGATGAAAGAGCTAACATTTCAACTGTTGAGGATGAGAACGAAGCTTTGGAATTTGTAGCTATCGGAGAATAAAGTGTTGATATTGGGATGTTGTAAATCTTAAATTGCATAAGATCTCCCGCCAATGATCTTTACCATAACAGGCAACTCATACCCTCGCTCTGGAGATACAGGGCCGTCCGGAGATAGTGGATTTGACGAGATTATATGGTACTTCCATGTCACTCCACTTTGTCTATTGTGTAGACACAACCCACTCCGTAATCGGAACCTATGGTATATCGGAACCTACGTTATAGCCCGTTATGAGAATGTAAATCCTAGTGAACGAAAATAACAAGTTGAAAGTACAACCCACCACCATCACTAGCCCTCCCACCCCTTCGCTCCAAACCCATCCTCCCATGGTCTAAAATGGCCTATAGCATATTAGCCTTTGTCTGGTGGAAGTGCTCCTGCTGGATGGAAACATAGCTTCAGCCCTTGCCAACAGTCCCAGTGTTGTTTTAGGAGTAGTGGAAGCTTGGTTGCCCAGGGGGATTTCACCTTTGCGACCTGCCCCATGTGATTCCATAGGAGGTTGATCGCTATTGGTTTGTACTGAGGGAGCTACATTTATTTTGGATAGAGAATGGACCAATTCACGAAAGGGGCACCCCTCTTGGTCCCCTGCAAACCTTCTTTTGTGCTAGTGATTTCCGGGCTCACACCATTCTTTCGCAATTACCCGCGACAGCAGGGTTTGAGCATGGGGGCTCAATCAATATGGGAAATGTGGGACACTGGGACCTCTGCGCTGCCTTGCAGAACATACAGTAATTTGCGTTCCTACCGTCATGCGGAGTCTTGCAGGGTACACAATGGTTCAGATATCCGCCAGGGAACATCACTCAACTGCCGTGACCGAGAGCGGTGAGCTCCTGGTATGGGGCCATCTTGACAGTGGACAACTCGGTATAGACTGTGCGGCACTTTTAGCGGATCATTGCGTCCATGACGCGAGGTGCAACCCCCGCTACCTCAGGACCCCATATGCTGTCCCCGGCATCAGGTTCTCCACCATTGGCTGCAGCATAGACCACAATATTGCCGTCTCGATGAAGGGACAAGCATACTCTTGGGACTTCAGTGGTTGTTATCTGACCGGTCTTGGCCCCGACGCAGATGACGAGATCATGATCCCTACAAGTATTGAAAACACAGCCACCAGAGGTGCCAGGTGTCAGGATGACCTTCGCGGCAGCCGGTGGGCAGTTCCCCATCCTCACTGGAATTCCCGTAGAAACTGCTAATTGCGGTTATTCCGGTGCCAATGCACATGCTAATGATGCAGATGCTAATGGTGATGAGGAGGGCGAGGGAGGGGACTAACAGGGACCGCTGACAGACCCAATGAATGGGACCCTCATAACTGGGATATGTACATCTATGAACATGCGACTTTGTAGTAATTAATAATGTTGTCTCTTGATCTGGGTCAGACAATGACAGTGGCACAACAAACCTTCTCCATACCGGGAGTGTCCGTGCTTTCCTTATTTCCTTCATTAAACTCATTGTATGGTTTAGGTAGCATACAAGACTGGTGCTCTTCATCGTGGTTTAGGATTATTGATTTGGCGTTCTACCGCGTAAGTTAGTAGCCGTAGTTGGGACTAGACCGCCGACCTTCTACATAGCCGAATAAGCCTGAATGGTCTGATGCTATTCTTGAATGCATGCTATGGCTTGCCAGTCGGATCAAACATGCAGCCTATCTCTGGGGTCCTCCCCCACGCGATCGCTGCCTATCCAGCGTTCCTGGACAGTGGATATCTAGCCCACAATGAGGGGTCCTTTCGGACGCAGTCAATCGCTACCCACCCCATCCAGGGGCCCTGTACCATGTATTGTAGATCGTATTGGGCTTGAGTGCATAGACTACCTGACTACCTGACTGAGCGATCATGCCTGATCACTCGCAGGGTTGTAGATGAAAAGCAGGTAAACCCTTGTAGCATCTCCATCTCATATACACTTAGCACTGAAGGACAACATATAGGTGTCCTCGCCCAGCGCGGCCCACTAGTCTCCACGAATCCAATATTCCATCTGATTCCCATTCCTGGGGTTCCCGCAAAGCGACACTCCCTGCCCTCCAAACCTTGTAGTGTCCACAACCATTCCTATGCTACTGGTCATACCAACCCCAACGACCTCTCAGCATGACGAGATGTAAGTCCCCAGCAACACCTCCGTCGGCTACCATATGTCAGATGTATCACTTCAATGTTTCAATCTTGTAACAACACCTAACACCACAGATACCCCCAACTCCGGGTCCTGGGCAGCATTCAGGTTACTTCTGCAGTTGTTCAGTTGAAGGCTGCCAATATCCCAGGGCCAGACGGTACTAGACCAGCTTTCATCTGGTATTACTACTTGCAGCTTGCACAACGCGCCTGCTGGATGGACTATGCCGGAGGAGGATGTTTTCAAACACTATCGGGGTTCGTACAGCGGAAACGACTTCCACTTGGGCCAGGCGACGAAACTTGAAGGCTTTTATTAATACCAAGAAATAGGGATAAGGGAGAAGAATCAAAGAGGTGAAAAGACCAATAATATTGTGAACGGACAACAAGTGACTTCAACAGAAATAAGTCCAATTGGTAAAGGTAGAAAGAGAAAGATAGTAATTGCCACAGATAATCAATAACAAATGAGCAAAGGAAATAAACAGATTTATATCCAACAATCCTTCTCCCTAGACATGTTACCAGCACATGCGTGATCTCTTTCTTCCTCCTATGCTATCCTCCTGCTTGCTTCACAAATGCACTCCAGAGGTATGAAGTTCTGGGCCCAGGGTGGGGTTCTAACAATTTGCCTCAGATACAATCAATTGTGATATGTATCAACTGGCTGCCTCTGTTGTTTCATTATTGGTAGGTTGCTGTTTGATTCTGATACAGCAAATATGCAGGATTGGTATGGGGTTCGGGATGAAGCTAATGGTTGTGGGACATCTCTGGAATGGTAGTCAATGTGAGGCGTTTTGCTAGGGCATTTCTGATCCTCCGATGATGGGGGATAGTGTGTGTGGTGAGCAGCCAAGAATGATGAATGTCCAACAGATGTGGGGAGGAAACATGCTTATTCTATAGGTCTGATACAAAATCATCTATTCCCTCTGACTAAGGTACTCATCCAATGCTACTAGTGTGTAAATATATAGGAGGCGCATGGGGGATTGAGAATAGACAGGTGCATGGGAAGGAAGGAATGATGGGTGATGGAACCTGAGGATCAGAGGATGACTAATCGAGGCTTGGTGTTTGTCGGGTGAGGTAGACCACTACTCACCCAACAAATTCTACGACATCAACAGATATCTGGTGAAAGGGTTCCAACCATCTAGACTATCCTGCCTCTCTCCCCATCTCCTCTCTTCATCTCCTCCCCCCATCTTCTCTCCTCACCCACAACCCACCTGCCCATCCCCATTCTCGCTCCTTAGAACACAACTACCATGACCAAACAGCCCACCGCAACGGCATACTATCAACAAGGTGACCCTGTTTGATGTCATATTATCTATCGGAGTCTGACTTACAAAATTCGCAAGGGGTGAACACTAGCTAACAATGTTTAGACTTGCCACCAAGCTAGTCAAGTCCGCAGGTATTTACAGCTACCGCCATCAAGTCCGCTATACATCTAGGACAATGGACCCCGTTCTGGTAAGCTTAGAGTTTCAATAGCCTGAAGACTATTCTAACCATGATAACGTTTAGCAAAAGAAGCTAATTACCAACCAGAAGTATAAGACTGCATGCTCAAGGGTTACCATGGACGAGGCTGAGAAGACACTTGGCTTTCTATTTGACAGATTTGAAAAGCAAGCCATTCTGGTTAGCCGCATGTTGGCAGAGGCCACTCCCGTGATTAGTGGTCTTGGGGAAACTCAAATCAAGGAAACTAAGGAAAATGTTTACAACCACATTATCGAATTTGTGGAAGTAGTGTTGTTCACGAGCC